CCGGGCAACACAGTGAGACTCTGTCTCAAAAAAATAAAAATAAATAAAAATAAAAAAAAAAAGAACAGCATGCGGGAGAACCACATACCACAGCACAAAGTACACGGGGCAGAGAGGCAGGTGGAGCACAGACATCCAGTGGCTCTGAATGCCAGGCCATTAGAGTTAGGGTTTTTTTTTCTCTTTTTAATGTCCTGAAAATGCTGTGCTGTGGCAGAAGTAGGGTTTTTTCTTTTTTTTTTTTTTTTTCTACTTTGAGACAGGGTCTCACTCTGTTGCCCAAGCTAGAGTTCAGTGTCATCATAATAGCTCACAACAGCCTTGAACTCCTGAGCACAAGGGATTCTCCTGCCTCAGCCTCCCGAGTAGCTGGAACAACAGGCTTGTGCTACCACACCTGAATGATGTTTTTTAGTTTTTGTAGAAACGAGGTCTCCCTATGTTGTTCTGGCTGGTAGAGGTGGGTTTTGTCCTGTGTTAAGGTCATGCAGTATTTAGTCCCTGTCAGCTGATGTGGAAGTACAACTAGAGATTGGAGACTGGAGTCATTGGGAGGATCCTGATGAGGTACCTGACCTCTGGCAGGGTCTGTAGGAATGGGGAGGAGGTAGGTTTGCGGGTAAATCATTGTTTAATAATCCATAGCTATAGCCAGGGACAAACTGACCCCTCACCTTTACTTGGTTCACTGTATTTCCAGCACCACCTAGCCTACTCTCTGGCACCTCTGTGCCAGCGTTGTCCTGGACATTGGCAAGAAACGCTGAAGAGAATAGGACAAGAAGTTCTATTCTAGGAAATATGTGTTAACTCAAGGAATAAATAAATGAATGATTAACTTATTTACAAGGACAAGAGACATTGCAGAGGCCTTCCTTGTAAAAGATTAAATGCCTGGAAAACGACCGAGTTCTCAGGTCTAGCCCGCCCGGGGCCCCAGTCGCGCCCACCGGGCTTGCTCACCTCGAAGGGCGCGACGTTGGGGAAGGTGACATCGATGACCAGCACGCCAGGCCGGCCATGGGAGGTCCGCACGTCGCCCACCTGCAGAGCTACGGTGCCTTTTACATGGCAGGGCACCGACACGCGGGACATGATGCTCCCCAGCGCGACCAAGCGCAAGCGCTGCTCGGGTCCCCAACCACCAGTCCTTCCTGGCGCCCCAGCCGAGCCTCATGAACTACAACTCCCGGGAGGCCTCGCGCTAGACCAACCCAGCCAATCACGGATACTCAGGGTGGGCCAGGAGTCGGAAGTGCCTGCGGAAGTTCTCCTTCAGCCAATAACCGCATGAGCCTTAGAGCCTACCAAGGGCCGGGCAGCGCCCAGCAAAGGCTGGACTTTGCTGTATCTAAACGATTCCTGGCTGCTCTCGGAGCTGCTTATCTCTCTTGATTTCTGCCATTGCGAAGCGGTGTTTAGTTAGAGCATGTAAAGCCATGAAGTAAAATGAGCAAAGTGGCTGGCCGACATTAACCGCAAAAATAAATATTAGTCATAAAAAAAAAAAAAAAAGAGGGCCGG